TACCCACTAAGATCAATACAAAATTTGAAATAATTCCGGTAAATAATATCGCTAGTATCATCAAAATATCAAATATTGGGAAGTACCGTTATATGGGAGCTTCTTTAACCCTATCCACGAGCAGTGTCTCTAAACCAACATAGAAAATTCTATCTTCATTCGTTCACCCAAAATCAAAATGTATCAAACTATCTCCTATTCTCGCACTTAATTTTTACAAGCAAATGTCAAGGTATTCACATAATACCAAATGGTACCAAATATCACCAAACGGTGACCTTTTGAAGATGCATCAATCCAAAATCGACAATTCTGCTTACTTCCGTCCCCATTAAGTCAAAAATGAGTTTCTTAAAAGGGAACGCTTTTTGAGCGTTGTTCGTTTGTAAGACGATTCATGGTTAAAGTACAGACCAAAATGGTCATGTTTGATATTGAAACAAATTACGAATCGGGCGTGAGCTACTTAAAACAGTATTTAAAAAATATCTTCTTTCATCCATTAAAAAAATAAATTCTTATAACGGTAATTTAAAGAAAATTGTTAAAAATTAAAGGAGAAAATAATTGTTAGGCTGACAAAATTTCACACTGTTTTTTCCTACCACCTAATTGTGTTTTTCTTTCTTGTTGTTGTTGCTTTTCAAATCTAAGTGAAAAATGTCATTTTAATATGGAAAACCAAGAAAAACTAAATGAAAGAAAAAAAAAACAATAATGCTACTAACAACAACAAATAGGCGGCTACAAAAACAAATGCATTAATTTATTTTTAATGGTTCGTCGTCATTTTCACCACTACCAACGGTGAGCTACGACGGGGACAGGCAGACGGTGGTGTGACTGGCGATGACTTATCTGATTCGTTTATCCGCTTAGATGAATAATCGGAATGCCTAAAATTTTTTCGGTGGCGGTGACGCAGATGGCGATGGTGGTGATGACGACGGTGTTGATAGCAGTTCAAATTTTCTGCCAAAAGAAAAGACGGCAGCAGCAGCTTTTGCTGTCAGCGGCAGCAATTAGAGGAGGCCATAGCCGGCCTGCCAACCAGCCAACAAGTGGACAAACCACGTAATCTTTTGAGATGATGGAGCGTTTTTGTTGTCATTTCGTTTCGTTTATGGAGTTTTACTTTCTTTGACACCAAATAAAACGCCAACTATCAAAAAAACAGAAACAAAACAAAAAGGCAGGTCTTATGACCCAGCAATCACCAAAAATGTGTTGTAGTTGTTGCTGTTACTGTTGTTATTTATTTCATTTGTCCAGTTATAAGTATTTATTTTGGCCAGTCTAGTTGGTAATAGAAAAAAGACTTAAAATAATATTTATGCTGGCTTTTCCCCCTTCTGCTAATGTTTTTATTTTTTGATTTTTTTTAAAGCAAGTCAAGTGTTTTCGATTTCTATCCACGAAGGTTAAATGTGCCACCAATCAATGCAATTCATGTTGTAGTTGTTGTTGCTGCCGGTTTTTTTTTTAAGTACGACAGAAAATAATTTGGTATTTAAGAGCCATCAAAGTAGTTAATAATGGTCAGGGGCATTATAAAATCGAATCTGAACAACAATCCCTTCACAACTTGAATGTAAAATGTTCGAAAACGAAAAAAACCTAAATTCAATGAAAAATACTTTAGGGCCTGTTTCGTGAATGCCGATTACAACAAATCAAGGCAAAACAGTTGAGCGAATTTTGAGACTCCACTCTTATGCTTCTCTATTTGCAATTTCGTTATGCGAATATTAGTGAAATAAATTTTCAAAATAAATCAACATATAATAATTTGATTTTATAATGGTGTTATTACATTTGATATGTCTAAAAGGCTTATCATGTCTCGGGCATGGAAGTGCAGTCCGACGTTATGAGTCAATGTTAATTCAATTTCCATCTACAAGATTGTTAAATCTAAAGATAACCTCATTAGCATTTCATGCTAAAATAGGAATAATATTATTTTCTCATTTATTTCCAAACACGTATGTGACTTTTTAAATGCTTTCGAATATAATATTTCCATTTAAGTGCATATAACATAAAATATATATGAATATGGGTCATTTATATAATTCGACTGATCACAAAAATGTGTGTTTTTTCTATGAATGCATAACAACAATGTATCTACAGTGTGCCGTAAAACAAAAGCAATAAATCTGAAATTTTCAATACAAAACGTATATTTTTAAGTTAAATTTCTGCAATACTTTCCAGTCCTTTCTGTGACTTCTGAAACTTGATAACAAGTAAAGGAACGAATTGAGTTCAGGTCTGGCGGAAAATTCTGAAATCTTGCTGAAAGGTAGGGGGAAATCGTCACTTTCCGAGATATGGAGCTTCAAATGCAAAAATATCCCTTTTTACTCTGTTATTTTACATTTTCGGGAGGTAGGTCCTTACTTTCCGAAATATAGGCTTCCAAAGTTTAGTAACAACTGTTTTAAAAATATTACCAAAATCAGCTGTATTTGGCATTCATCTGAGGCATGTCCAACGCCGGCATCGTAAACTAAAGGTTTTTAAAGTAGCCGACCTTCGGATGGGTTTTGCATTTCCTCCTATAAGGAATATCTTGCACCGGCTTCGCGAACCCAAGTTCATAGTAAGTGGTGGGCCTTCGGCCATAGTTTGATATTTTCTGCTCTGAGATATGGTCAACAACGGCTTCGCGAACCAAAGTTTACATAAATTTAAAAGTAAAGTGTTGACATGTTTGTTCGGTATACCGGGAAAGAGCCTAGGTATCCTTTTTTTTGTTTTGTTATACCAGAAACAGTGGACAGATACGTTTTGGTCGAGAATGCTTTAGTCGTTTTAGAGTGGGAGCAAAATCCGTTCGAAAACGAATCTCAAGAGAAACGCAAAGAGAGAGAGAGAGTGAGAGAGAGAAGCGCACTCCATTTATTTTCTTTCGTTGTCTGTTTACAATAAATGTTACCAAACAAGCAGAAGAGAGAAAACTCTAAAACAAGAGAAAAAATCCCTCAGACAAAATGAGAGAATTTGGACATACAAAACTTCAGTCTTTGAGCAGACGAATCGGACGTACAAAATTTGGTGGATCGTTGGGTACATACGCACACACAAATTAGTAAAAAAAGAGATATTTTTTCAATCGATTCCACTCTTAGAGCTAACTCTAGTTATATTTCGAGCGATTCTGCTCCCATGATAATTTTTCAAACCGGAGTGACTCCCACACAAAGCAAAACAGTGAAGAGTAATCTCCGTGTAAAACTACAAATCTTCGAGCAATCCCACTCGCGAGACAGTTTCACTCCCGAGTGAAAACGAGCAAATCTGTGTTCTGCAACTAATGTTCAAAATGTTTACTCCCTACCTACATCAGGTCTCTGGTTGAGAGAAATATTTAGATATACCAAGTTTAAATATATTTGTTATAATTTTTAAAAATGTTGTCCCTTTGTGGGAAAGGTACCACAAGCTGTGGGCCGATATATACCATCTTCACACCAGATCTTATCTTGACAGAAATACTGGAATGTGTGAAATATAAAGAGAATCGAGCACTTCTTTCGCTTTTTCTGTACGTTTTGGTTTCTCAAAATGTTGAGCCTTTGTAAGGGAGGTACCAGTAGGAGTGGGTCTATATATACCATCTTCACACGAGGTCTCGTGTTGATAGAAAAGATGTGAAATTGTTAAGATTGGGAAGAGTTGGAGGTTTATTCCTCATTTTATGTGGGTTCTGGCTATTCAAAATATTGACCCTATGTGGGAAAGGTACCAAAAAGAGTCCTCCAATATTGATCAATCTCGTATCTGATCTTGCACTCATGAAAATATTAGAAATGCTTTTTATGATGTAAATTATTGTTTGAAAATTTCAACCTTTAGTTGAGGATGTTCCCGAAGGAGTGGACCGATATTGTCAATCTTCGAATTTGATTAAAGTCTGAAAACGGGAATATAAAACTTAAAAAATATATAAAAATGAGATACATTGGTACGATATTCCCATTTTAAAGGGCAATATTTAAATCCTTTTTCTGATGATTAACTATACAATTAATTATAACTCCCACAAGTTATGAAAAGTAAAAAGTATCGGGACCGGAATTAACAGCATCCGATTACTTCTCCTGGTACCTCTCCCTCATAGGGTCAACGTTTTGAATTATTATAAAACACGTTTCATGTGAGTGGATTCTCCCATTTGGACATATTGTTTTAACATTTTGGTGATATTGTTGTAAAATGTAAATCCGATGTGAAAATGTACCTTTTCGTCATACTCCGCCTGATACTTCCTTTTAATGTGGCTGTACCTTCATTTTCCACAAAAAAATTCTGAAAAACAAAATACTCTGTTGTTTCAATAGAATCTAACCGATTAAAATAACAACAACAAAAAACTGCAAACATTGTATTCTCTTGCTAACCACTTCTTGCAGATTGGCTCATTTTCACTGTTCTACTTCAGTTTTGATTGAACTTTTCTGCTGCAGCAAAACAAAGGAGGAACGATTATTAAAATGAAAAGCAAATTAGCTACAGCCTACTTGCCAGAGCCGTTGCCATTTGCAGTTGGCAATATCGTGCAATAAATAGTTTGCAATTTCAGCCAGTCAGCCATAGAATGGATGGTAGCTATATTTTCGGTGGATGGATGGATGTTTCTTTAATTTTCGAAAAAAAAATAGAAACAAAAATGTAACGCATTGTGGTTTCTTGTTTTTGTTGTTGTGCTCTAGATAACGCCCTTGCGACTGAGCACCGACCGACCGAGTGATTGTTAAGCGGCTCAAAGTAGTTGTCAGTCAGTCAAGTGCTATAGACAGCATTGGCGGCCGAAATTGCAATGGAGCGGTACAATGGTGACACAACGAGCGGAGACGGGAGAGAGCGAATTGTTGTATAAATAAAATAAAAAAAACTTCAAACTTCTGTTAACGTTTCAAACCTTACGCAATCTCAATCGAATCGTTTTTTTTTTTTGAGTCCAATTTGAAGTAATTCACTCTCTTTTGCAGGCCTTTATAAAAGCCGTTACCAGTGGTGTTGAGAACGTGGAAGAAGTCCTATTTTCACCCGACAGCCAAAAGCAATTGATCCCAGCTGGGCCCCGAGTAATTGCCGACAAGACGAAATCCTTCAAGACCATCGATACAGAGGATGTTGTTAAACGTTCCCTGGCCCAAGAGGATGGTAAAATCATAACCGAACAAAAAAAGACCACAGAGCACGAGATAATTGTCGACAAGCAGTTGTCCGACGACGACGACGGAGCCAAATCAACGGGCAGTCAGGAACGTATTAAAACTATTGTAAGTTTATAAATGTGTTAAGAAAAACATTTTTACTCAAATCTATTTTATCCTCGGCAGGAAACTAATCAACGCTTCTTCAAACAACGTGACGAACAACATGTGGATCTGGTCAAGGATGGAAAAGTGGTAGGCACCGAAATGAAATACGCCGCCGAAACCATGCAAATGGATAATGACGATATGTTGGAACGTCCTGACGATTGGGATAGTTTATCAGATCGTATGCGAAAAATGCGTAAACCCTACAATAAATCTGTAATGCAGCACCCCAAGGGTAGGTATTCCAGGGGTGTATTTTGGAACTAGAACACCGTGAAAGAGTTGTAGGCTCATTTCGAGGGTAGAAAATCCTAATGTCCGTGAAGATAAATGTTGGTTGTTCTAAACAGAGAGACAAACAGCTCTAATTTTACTCGAGCTCAGAAAGTGTCAAAAGAAAGAGAGGGAGAGAATGAGAGAGAGAGAGATGGAGATAGTAAGCGGGCGGGGAATTTAAGACATTTTTAAATAGATTCATCACAAAAGGGGGAAAATTATAAACGAATATGACAATTGAAAGATCATGGCGTAATCATCAAAAATCCAAATATGTATACCCTCAGGTACCAGACGGGATATATCGCAGATATATATCATTTTGACAAGAAATCTTGTGTTAGCAAAAATCTTTGTATGTGTGAAATTTGAAGAGACTTGAATGTTTATTGCGCTTTCTTTGGGGGTTTGTTTTTCAAAATCTTGAAACCTGTGGGGGAAGGTACCAGAAGAAATGTTCCGATCCCTAACATGTTTGTAAAAGATCTTCTATTAATGGAAATATTGAGATCCTTTCCGTTTTTTTTTTTTTTTTGAGCTTCATTGATATTCAAAATGTTTACCCTTTGTGGGTGAGGTTCCCGAAGAAGTAGATCAATATATTCCATCTTCATAGCAGATCTTGTGTTAGTAGAAATAATGGGATGTGTGAAATATGAAGAGATCCGGATGCTTATTTCGGAATTTATAATCGTTTTGGTTATTCAAAACTTTGACCCTTTGTGGGAGAGGTAGCAGAAGAAATTGTCCGATATATCCCATCTTTATAACAGATCATGTATTAATGGAAATATTGAGATGTACCAAGTCTGAATGGAATCGGATGTTGACTTCCCGGTTTTTGAGCTTCATGTATATTCAACATTTTGGCCCTTTATGGAGAAGTTACCAGAAGGAGTAGATCTATATATTTCATCCTTACACCACACATTTGGTTAATAAAAATTATATGATGTGTGTTATTTGAAAACAATCTGTCTTTTACATCGCACTTTATATAAGTGATAATTATTCAAAATTTCGATATTTTTGTGGTGGGAGGTACTTGATGGAGTCGGTCGATATTGTCCATTTTCTCACCTGGCACAGATGCAAATATTAAGATTTGCATAGAAAAAATCAGATTATCCTTTTTTTTGAATATTTCGACCTATTGTGAGGGAGTTACCAGAAGGAGTGGACCAATGGGAAAACCCTCCTGCAGAATATTTAAAATTAATTTAATTAAAAATATAAGGCAATATGTATGTCACACGTAATATTTTGTCATGCCCCAAAACAAATCGATTTGGTACATGGACTTGGGAGATACCTTTATATGGAATTATTTCGAAGTATATCTTTATTGAAAATCTTCTATACGAAAGTTATCTATCCTCTAAACAATAAAACTCAACACTCATTGGAAAGTGCGGGCGAGATCCTAGATATTTTTAAAATCAGGGATTACAGTGACTCCGAAAGACCAAGCTAAAGCCAATATGATCGGTTTATCAAGACCATCGGAATACGTATCAAGTTAACAGAGTAGTTAGGTTCGGCCGATCCGAAGTATGTCAAGTGTCGAAGTCCAATATTCACGAGTTACATGTTAAAAATCCCTTCATTTCAAAAGACATTTCAGAAAGTCCCTTCAAAAATTACCGAATACAGGATGATACCGTAATGTTGAAATCAGAAGGTACTTCAATTTGTAGACCGATTTATCCCATCTTCGAACTAGACTTTGGTATAGACAAATCAGACAAGTTGCTTGTCCAATAAACTATGATCCTTTGATCTCCTTCCCAACCCATTGTGCTGATCGACTCCAAATGTCCTGTTTTTGTATATGCATTGTTAGGTCTAAGAGTGCTCTTCCATTTTCGATGAATCAAACACGTATGAAATACACACTGAATACACAATATTTCACTTATCATTTCTTTAAAACATATAAAATTCGAAACATTCTTCCATTTCCAGCTGGTGCCATATTGATGGATCGCAAAGATGCCTTGACCAAAAGGCCTTTGGATTTTGACCGAGAAGAAGAGACTCGAAAAGGTGAAACAATCAAATGGCTGGAATCACATTTTGGCAGTGAGTCCACGGCATCAAATGACTCTCGTGAGGATGAAGTGGATGTCATTGAACCCACCAAACGTACATATTTCAATGTAACCATCAAATCGAATCAAAATCAAACTGCACCCACCAACCCAACCTATGAGTCGGGCGACAAAAAGGTATTTGCCAAACGCAGCGTAGAATCCATGAATGGCGGTGTTGCCACCACCAATGGAGCCAAATACTATCAGGGCATATCGAATTGGAGCAATCGCAAAGAGACCACAGCACCCGCCACAACGCCCGCCAATCATTTCGCCTCGAAAGCTTTTCGTGATGATCTCCATGCCTCCATCGAACGAAGTCAGTTGAGAAAAACTAGCGCCGTTTATGCCTCCAAGGATAATTTGAATTCCGACAATGCGCCATATGTCAAGTCGAACCCCAGCGACAGTTATGTCAGTCGCGAAGATATTCTCCAACAAAAACGTCAAAGTCTGTCCTCACAATTTCTGGCTCGATCAAGACAAAATTCCCGCGATCGACTAGATGACGTCGATAGAATTGCCGCCCCAGCATCGTTTGCAGATGACGATGATCGCTACATTAGTGGATCGCGTACAGACCTTCATTATGGTTTGAATGTCAAGGAAAAGGAAAAACGTAGCTACACTCGAGCCGAGGTTATGGATGAACCCGACTCACCGGCACCACCTCGAAAGGCCTCCTATGTGGAGGAACGAGCTAAGAGTTATGAACGAACCTTTGTAGAAAACAATCGTTACAATTCATTGCAGCGTTCGGACAAAGGCACGCCGCAACGGGAAATTACCACCTTGGAAAGACCTGTAGTGCCTCAAAGGCGACGTAATGGCGAAAAGAAACTAAGGCAGCAACATGAGCCGGTCATGATTGATCTAAAGACACCCATAGCAATCAATGTGCCACCACCCGACTATTCACCACCACCACGCAGTCGTTCATCTTCGCCACCACATGATGACTTCCACAAGGTACGAGCCAAATCCTATCCACATCAGCTATACCCGAACTCGTCCAGCCAAGAACAGATGTCGGCTCGAGAGACCAGCACTTTATTGAGGAAACAAAATCAGAGAACAAGATTTGCTCGCAATACTCCATCACCACCACCCAGTGCAGGCATGCATCATCACCACCCACATCATCAGAGTCAGACGCTGAGACCCAGCATGCAGACCACTCAGACCCAGACGACACCTTCAACCATCTCCACATCCACAGTGCAATCGCATCGTTCCAGCAAAGTGGGTAGTGCTATTGGAAACTCTTTGCGTAAACTTGTGGGCAAACTGAGATCGGCTAGTGTTGAGCGCAAGCTGCGCATGAAATCAAAGTCCAAGTCACGGGATCATTCCCCTGCCCCACCACCGGCAACATCGGTAGGCCAAAACCAGCGGAATGTTACCACATATCAGCAATATAATGTCATCGATGGGCACATAGGCGGCGGAGGAGGTAATAATCATCACAATACCACTTCGCATGAAGAGTCCGAGGACGAACTTTCCACCCATCAACGAATCCAATACCAGGCAAGCAAGACGGGCGACAGTGTCTACAGCAATGCCAGTGTTGATCGTCGTGCCATGCTGCACTCCACTTCCTCGCATCCGGTGGTGGGTAACAGCCACCGTGACAATTATCGCCGACAGGAGAGTCTTGTCAGCCCCAAGCAGCGCTACTATTTGGGAGAGGACCCCTACTCAAGTACTCTCTATGGCAAGGAGAATGTCCAGGACAATGGCAAAGTGCAGCGTAACGGGGGCACCACCACCATTCACTACAATGGTCGGGACAACAACAATTCGACATCCACCCATACCCTTGGCCGATATCAAAAGGGAAATTCTCGTTTTAGTGGATCAACACCGAATTTAAATACCGGTTATCGTAGTACCCAAACTCTGCCGCGGAAATTAAATGATCAGCAACCAACAATCCACCAATACGAGACTCAGACCATGAACATCTCACGATCCAATGTGACGGGGAAGGTACAGAGCAAATTGCGTCAGCAGCAGCAGCAACAACAACAGGCCGAACAACGCATTGCATATCAACCGATTGGACCGAACACGGGACCCCTCAAACCAGCCAGGACCTATGCAAAGTCCTTGAATCGCAGCAAAAGTTTCAGTGTTCATGCAATGAATGGCAGCAACGATCCTAGTCCCATTTACATGGAAAAGCTAAACGGCAACAACAGCAACAACTACCACAACAATCTTCAATCTAGCCATGCATACAAGTCAAATCCTCATCTCTACTCTAGCTCAAAGGAAAACGGTGCGCAGCAAACACCGCTCAAGAGTCCGTCGATAGTCAATCTGATCAGCAGAAGTCAGCGTGACTTAACGAAGATCGGCACAAATGAAGACGAGTCTGATACTTATGGAGAGCGCCAAGGCTATACGAACAACCGCAAATACTATGACGAAAGAAAGGCCACACCGCCTTATCGGTCGGGATCGTCACACATTGAGGATGAATATAAATATCGGGCACCGGGTCACTATCATCTGCAACAGAAACACTCGTTGGATTCACGCGGCTCGGTGGAGATTAACAAGGATACTGCCAGCATTATAAGGCACGAAGAATATGTGCGGTCGAAGCGGGCACCACCACCTGCTGGTTCGACAATTATTAAAGTACGCAATATGGACTATCGGAAATAGCATCAGCGTCGTCATTGTCGTCCCCCTCAACATCGCATCTAAACTCATTCCATTATCACTCAGTCACCTATCCATCAGCCATCCATCCATTCGGCGGCTTTAGTTTCATTTGACTGGTCAGCAAATAAAAATCCAAAGCCATCATCAAAAACAGCATCATCATCAGCAACATCGGAATCAGAATCAGAAAGTATATGTTATCTGTAGACTATATTTTTAATCTACTACTAAAAATTAGTTTATTTATATGCACGCACGCATGCGCACTCACACACACACCACCCACTCACACACACTCACTCACTTATAAATCAATTAATGTATAACAAAATTGAATGACGTTAAACCCCCCTTGGTATTACCCAGACCCCTACAAGTATTTTCAATGTACTTAATTAGAAATGTGACCACCTAGAGATCCTCACAAACCCTAGACGTCCTCACATCCCTCCCGCCTTTCTAAAATTTACATTTATTAATGTTGTTTATAGTGAATTGAAAAAGAAAAACAATTTAATAATCAATAATATTCCACTAATAATTAATTAATTATTGTAAACATTTGTTAATTAACATAATTTAGTTCAGTACTTACTACCTACCTTAAAAATATTAAAACAAGAGAAAAATAATTATATTAATCTTGATAATAATGATAATGTTACCAACATTCATAAAATGGTTATCAAATGCAATAAAGTGCCAAAATTTAATAACTGTTAAAATCGGTTGTTTCATTTTGAAGAAATGTGTGGTAAGTGTTGAGTTCAGAACCATCTCGTCATCATGTGGAAAATTCAACCCTGTACTGTAAGTTCGGCCGGGACGAACTTTGAATGCCCTCCACCATTTGGAACGAATTTGGCAGTTTTCAAAAAATAAAGTCCGTTAAAAATTCTGTTAAAATCTTAAAAAACATCGAATGTAGCCGTTATATTAGGGTCTATATGACGACGTGGACATGCATAGGGAACTTTTGTCACAAGCCATTACAATATTCAAATGCGAAAATTAAAAAAATTAGTGAATAGTGTAGCTAAAATCACCAAAATACCGAATATCGGGTGCTAAACGAAGACGTGGACTCAGGTTCTCAGGCTGTAGTATCCATTACGAACTTCAAATACCAAATTTGAAACATTTCCGGTGAATAATGTCGCTAAAGTCATCAAAATACAGAATATCCGGAGGTGCCGTTATATGGGGGCTATAACAAAACGTGGACCTACATGGTCCATTTTCAATACCAAAAGTCCTGCAGACATTATGTACATTTCAATAAAATTTTATCAACCTACTTCATTTTGTTCAGAAGCTAGAGTGATTTCCACAATGGACAAACGGAAAGACGGACGGACATCGCTAAATCGACATAGAAATTTATGAAGATCAAGAATATATATACTTTGTGAGGCCTAATATGTATATTTGGAGGTGTTACAAACGGAATGACAAACTTAATATACCATACATACTATGGTGGAGGGTATAAAAAGTACCAAATTACATCTCAGGGCTAGTAAAATTTACATGCAGCTGCAAGAACCTTTAATGGAAATCGCGAAAAATGGTCCTTTCCTCCCTGCTGGAACTTGAACTTTAAATCTGATAATGAGATAATTCAGCATAAAATATGGCAAACACATAAATAACAAGGAAAAAACATTAAATTCTGCTGGACCGAGAATGGAGTTCGGAGAATGCAGTTTATGTTTTCAATAAGAATAAAGAGTCATATCGGAGCCATACCAAAACGGAAACGTATATACACAATTTATATTACAAGAATTGTTTTCTATTGCGAGTCTTAAATACAAAATTTTAAAAACAATGGGAAAGTGTGGCTAAAATCTTAAAAATACCGAATATCGAAAGGTACTGTTAAATGGAGGCTATAGTAAAACGTGGACCTATACAGCCAATGATCTGCCGCAAGAGATAGAAGCCATTACTAACTCTTAATATCAAATTTGAAACAATTCTGTATAAAAATGTGGCAACAACCATCAAAATACTTAATTTCGGAAGGTACCGTTATATGGGGGCTATATCAAAACGTGGACTGTTATATCTCATTTTCAATACCAATTCTCCTAGATACAATACAAAGTACACCTAAGTCTGTTTTTACACGGTCTTTTTGTACACGGTTTTGATATAACATGGTTTGAAATTTTAAAACTCTACGTCAAATAATGTGGGCTGCATCGTGATTTTAACAAACGGATGGACAGACAGACACACAAACGGACATCGTTTAATCAACTTAGAATTTTATGCTGATCATAGGATCTACGACGAATGTTTAGAGGTATTAGAAAAGGATTGACAAATGTAATATACACCTAATGCTAGGAACACAATTGGAGCGAACGACGAATTTTTTCGCGGCGTATGTTCGTCGTCAAAAATAAAACACATATGTGTATATGGAAGTGCACACAATCACGGCACCGGCGAAAATTTCGTCGGTCGCCGCGAACTCAATTAGCTTTATTTCTATTTCATACGCCGGCGACCGGCGAACAAAACAGTACAAGGTGGCCATACTTGTACGAATTTTATGTGTTTTAGTAAATAAAGTTACTTTTTACTTTAAAATGTGTTATGGTCACTCTACTATCTGTTACTCGTATAAAAAAACATAATTAATTTGTTTATTTATTTGTGTACTTGCGCCTGAGTGAAGATGGATATCAGTGAATTTATAATAGAGAAGATGGACATAAGTGAAATTATAATAGAGAACGTAAAGAATTATGTGTTCTTGTATAATTCATTGTAGTCAACAAATGAGCAAAAAGTAAACAACTTCATCAGCTGTTTTATAATTTCGTCGGTATTGTGTTCCATACGACGAATTTTCGCGGCTCATTTTGTCGCCGCGTAGGGCGAAATTCGTCGTTCGCTCCAATTGTGTTCCTAGCATAAGTCTGTTTTTACACGGTAGATTGGTTCCAGAAGAAGCCGTGTAAAAAAAACCGTGTAAAAAACATTGGTCTTATACAAAAATGGGTTAATTTGTTCCTAATCTCTAAAACCTAGTGAAAAACAAGAATTTTTAAGAACAAGAATTCATGAAATCACCGATTGCTTAATTGCAATTTCATTTTTCTTTATAGTTCTTATTGTGGCTTCATTTAAAGCGAATGTTTTACCAAGAGCAGTTGAGCCTTCTCCATTTCGAAGGCGATCTAAAAATTTAATCTTGGTTTCCAAAGAAATTACCTTCTCTTTTAGTTTTTTATTTTTTTAGTTGTTTTTTTTTTTTAAACATAAATAACTGAATAATTACAAAATTTTTTTGGCTTACCTTTTATCTTAATGCGTTAAAATTAAATTTAAATTTAAAAATTGAAGTACATAACATTTCAAATCGTGCTAAATGGAATAAAATCGTGTAAAAAAAATTAAAAATATTCAATTTTCAAACCGTGTTATATCAAAACCGTGTACAAAAAGACCGTGTAAAAACAGACTTAGGTGTACAATACTTTCCAAAGGTGGACTATGGTATTAAAACAAAGAAATGAAGAATGGAAATTTAGTCCACGCCACAATTAAATATTAATAGCTTTAGTTGTAAACAATCACTAAACACTTAACAAATACTGAATATTAGGTGTATTTACCAAATATGGGTATTTCTGTGGAGTAGAAAGCTGGTTATACTGCTGTTTTGGACAGAAAACTATTCCGTGGAATTCGAAATATTTTACTCTCGTTTTGCAGATGTGGATAAGGAAAAAGGAAAGGAAATAAAACGAGCGTATTAGTTTTGTTTGAAAGAACAATTCTGGTTCTTTATTTAGAATTCAAATTTGAAGATTTGAATAGCGCTTACCAAATTCAAACAGTTGTGGTTGACGTTAAGGTAACAAGTGATTTTATTTGGAACAAAGGAAAATCGAAAAACCACAGAGAGGACACAAACGGACATATTGAGTGATTGAGCGCTACAGCACAAGCACAACTTACGAGTGCGCGCGAAACTTAACTTTTGAATTAGGGTGACCAGATCATCAAACTTTCGCATGAACATTACCGGCCCCCTTGCAGTATCACTGCAATAAAAGAATGAAACGGAAAACCCGTGTGTGTCCCCACTGCTTACAATACAAGCGATGTAAAGTAATGAATGAAATGGATATGAGATTATAGTAAGTAAGAAATATAATGATGAAACAGCGGGAGGATTACATCTAACATCAGCGCCGAAAGGAATCCGAACTCGCATCTGTAACTTCAGGAGGGACATCTGGAAAGATAAAGTTTGTGCTTTGGGGGAAAAGGAAAACAATAGTGCATTCTTCAGTTCATGTTTATTAGTAATTCATTTGAGTTTAGAAAAGAGAATAGAAAAAAAAAAATAGGGATGTCCCAATTATGAACATAGCCCATATATCGCCCAGCCAAACACCGTGCTCTGAGCCGTTGGCAACCCGCTCCTTGCATATACCCCTTCAGACACGACCTTCGGATATAGGTCTACTCCAATCACTATGTCGACCCCTGCAGATTTATAAAACGTGGGGTCTGCAAAGAACAAATGAGGGAAGTTCCTTTTGAACTCCTCCGGGAGCGATTCAGCTGGCGTCTTTGTCGTGATCCGATTGTCAACCCGGAATGTGCCCTCAATCTTCACCTTCGAATCAAACCTCGAAAATAATGTCAGTTGGCATACCGTCTCCTCTCTCAGGGTCAGCGTGTTTAACTTCATCTTCTCCACAAACGCTCTCGAAACTCTGCTGACCGGCGAAGCGGAATCCAAGAGACACCTGGCCACATTCTTCGCATCAATCCTCACCAGGACGGTAGGCAACAAAATGGTCCGATTCTGCTGGATCAAAGATGTTAGGGACCCCCTTTTCGCTGGTGCCGGTGCAGACGCAGGTTGGCGACGAGCCGCCGTAGAAGTCGACGGCTGCGGTGAAGGGGACCGAGAACTGGCTCCGGAACTAACCGAGGGCGCATGTCGTGGTAAAATCTGATCGCGGACTTTGGGATTGACGTGAAGGAGAGTGTGGTGAAACTTCTTGCAATGGCGACACCCCTTGTCACTGAAGCACGACCCATTTGAGTGATCTACTGCCAAGCAATTCACGCAGTATTTGTGCTGACGGACAGTATCTAAGCGTTCCGACATGTTCATATCCAGGAACTTGTGGCATCGACGCAACGCATGAGGACGCTGGCAGAGAGGGCATAGAAACTGTCGTTTATATGGAGCTGGATTGGAATGACTGCGTTTATTGTTGTTGGAAACGTGTTTGGGCATGGTAGCTAAGGACAAGGTAAGGACAGAACAACATAGGACGGAAAGAAATAAAAAGAAATTCGGAACTTAGTTATCGGAAAGGACAACAAGTTTTGTAATTGGACGAGTGATAACGCCTTTCTGAGTCACAAGATCTGCGACACGAACATGGCCATCAGAGCCGCGATACGTCTTGGAAACCCTACCCAGACGCCATGAATTTGGCGGAAGATTCTCATATATGGCGACCAGTGTGTTCTCTTCAATATCTTTCTCAGGAGTCTGCCACTTGTGGCGCTTTTGAAGCTCACGGAGATACTCTGTTTTCCACCGAGCACAGAAACTCTGATGGATCGCTTTCAAACGTTTCCAACGATTTATCAAGGAAATTGGACTCTCATCAATATTTGGATCAATAGGAGCTAAAATGGGAGTCCCGATGAGGAAATGACCTGGCGTCAACGCAGCAAAATCAGTTGGATCGCTGGAAATAGGAGACAATGGACGAGAGTTTAAACAGGACTCAATTCTGGAGAGAAGTGTCGAAAACTCTTCAAACGTGAACTTGTAGGAGCCGGCGAACTTTCGGAAATGGGTTTTGAAACTCTTAACCCCAGCTTCCCAGAGGCCACCCATATGAGGTGCTCCGGGTGGAATGAAGTGCCAACTCAGATTTTGGACGGAAAAAAATTCTATTAGCGCTGTGCGAGAGGCTTGGATAAATTCTCTCGCCAGTATTTTGGCCGCCCCCACGAAGGTCGTACCGTTATCTGAATACAGATGTGCTGGACATCCGCGCCGTGAAACAAATCTATGGAAAGCCGCCAAGAACGTGGGAGTGGAAAGATCGGATGTTGCCTCCAGATGAATCGCTTTGGTCGAGAAACAAACGAAAACGCACGCATACCCTTTCGTGATCCGACATGCGCGACCGCAATAGCTCTTGATCTCAAAAGGGCCAGCGAAATCGAGGCCCGTGCGAGCGAAAGGACGAGAAATTTCAGTGCGCTCAGGAGGGAGCGCAGCCATGATCTGTCTTTGACATCGTTTCTTATACAGAAGACAAGTGCGACACTTATTGATCGTTGTTTTAATCAGGTTCTTGACTTTAGGAATCCAATACTGGGATCGTATTAATCGAAGAACAAGCTGATTTCCACCATGAATAGTGATATTGTGAATGAATTGAACGTAGAAACGAGCTAGCTTGCAATTGTATGGAAGAATGATTGGACGCTTCTCATCATCAGGAATGCCAGGAGCCGATTCTAAACGTCCGCATGAACGGATAATCCCCTTAGAGTCAAGGTACGGATTCAAGCATAGAAGGGAACTGGACGTAGAAATCGGTTTCCTGAGCGATAGGGATCTGTACTCCTCTGGAAAACTGAACTTTTGATACCATCGGATAAGAATATTCCGACCTCCAATGATATCGGAATTACAGAGTGGTTGTGCACCAGGAGAACGGTAACGAGGATGGAAACGATGAAGGAAACGATACACATATGAAAAAACTCGCAATGCTCGTTGATATGATGAAATCTTCCCCACAATATCGTCCGTCGCCTTAAAATAGGAAAAATGAACACGAACGGGTTTTCGTTCGACGCTGGTTACGGACAGTTCTTCAGTAGAAAAGTCTGGCCACTGATCTGGAGACTCTCGTAACCAAACCGGCCCGTGCCACCAGAGATCATTATCAATGATATCGGATGGGAAGAGACCGCGGCTTGCTAAGTCTGCTGGGTTGGATTCGGAAGGAACATGATGGAACTTAGAAGGATCCACCACTTGAACAACATTGGAAACACGATTGGCTACGAACGTTAACCAATGGCATGGCGGTTTGGAAAGCCAGGAGAGAACGATTGTCGAGTCTGTCCAGCAGAACAAGGAATAGTTAGGAAGATCGAGAGTCGGAAGTAACGTATCAATCATCTCTGCTAAGAGGACAGCCCCACAAAGCTCTAGACGTGGAATGGATAACGTTTTGACTGGAGCAACTCTTGTTTTGGAATACACCAGGTGTGTGAATACGGAGGTACCTCGAGCTATTCGCACATATATAGCGGCCGCGTATGCCTTTTCAGAGGCATCGCAAAACCCATGAAATTGAACTTCAGCGGAAGGAACATAATGGAGCCATCTTGGAATTCGAACTTGATCAAGATTCGAGTAGTCGGATTGAAATATCTTCCACTGGGACAATGTGGCCGGACTGATAACTTCGTCCCAATCCGTACCATCGGACCATATTCTCTGCATTATAATTTTTGCCACAACGATGCATGGGGAAAGCCAGCCTGCAGGATCGAACAGTCTGGAGATCTGAGAAAGAACTTCCCTCTTGGTATAGGAACATGAAGACGGAAAAGGCGTTGTGACAAAGAAAAATGAATCTGAACGAGCGTTCCAACGAATTCCTAGCGTTTTCGCTGTGCTACTATCGTCGAAGTTTAGGAAATCTTCACACAACAAATGGTCATTTGGAAGACCCGCTAGAATATCCTTTGTGTTCGCTGTCCATTTTCGAAGGGAGAAACCAGCCGATGCCAGAGCGGATTTAAGCTCGTTTCTGGATTGAACTGCTTCGGAAATTGAATGTGCACCAGAAAGTACGTCATCCACGTACATATAATTACGGATAATCGAGCTTGCCTTCGGATGGCTAACTTGGACATCATCAGCTAGTTGAAGAAGTGTGCGAATAGCCAAGTACGGAGCACAATTGACACCAAATGTGACAGTTTGTAGCTCGAAATCTTGGATGCTTTCACCTGGGTGGTTGCGGAATACAATTCTTTGGAACGGAGTATGATCGGAATGGACGAGAATTTGGCGGTACATTTTTTGGATGTCAGCATTGAACACGTAGCGGAATAAGCGCCATTTGAGAATTAGCGTGGTCAAATCATTCTGCAACACTGGACCTGTATGCAAAATGTCGTTAAGACTTTGACCATTGGATGAAGCAGAAGACGCATTGAATACCACACGAACCTTTGTGGTAGAACTCTCCGGTTTAATAACGGAATGATGAGGCATATAGTAGTGGAGGGTATCGCTATTGGAACTCGGAGCCTGAACCGGAATCATATGGTTCAGCTGTATGTACTCTTTAACAACCTGATCATACTCTAACTTGAAATTTGGATTTCGGAGTAGGTGGCTCTCGTTGCGAAGGAATTGAGAGACCGAGCTTGGACGGGAGTGTCCTAGGAGTTTACTATTCGGAAAACCTTCCTTAAAGGGAAGACGAACGACATACCTGCCATCCTTATTCCTCGCGGTAGTTGAAGCAAATAATTCTTCACAGAATTTATCGGAATTAGAAACAAATTTCTTTCTGGGGCAATTCTCTACCTCCCAGAAACGGCAAATATCCTTATCAAGAGAAATCTCACAGAAGTTAGAGACGACAGTGGAAGTAGTCGGACTCGAAATAGGAATTGGACCAGTGAGAATCCATCCGAAGATGGTCTCTTGGCCCATTAAGGAATCGCACACATTGTGCATAACCCCTGATCTCATTATTTCCGGAATAAAATCACCTCCAATTAGCAGATCAATAATGGAACTCTTATAGAAATGTGGATCTGCTAGCTTGATGTTGGGAAGACGAGCGAATAAGGACGTCGGTAGAGTCTGTGATGGTAGATCTCCCGACAAATGGGGAAGTACAAACGCCTGCACGGAAACTTGCATGGAATTGTCAAATCTGGAGCATAAAAGAACACTGCAAAGTTTTCGAACGGAAGCTGCAGTGGTATTATTGAGGCCGGAAATCTGAACGTTCGTTCGTTCATAGGGAAGCTTTAATTTGTTGAAGAATTTCTCGGATACAAATGTTCCTTGGGAACCGGAATCAAGAAGAACCCGTGCTTGATATGAAACTCCTAAGTGCATGACATTTACAAGCGCGGTCCCCAATAATACTCCCCTAGAACTCGTCGTGAAGCAGGATTGGATAACTCCGTTCCCAGAACTAGTGGACTGTACGGAATTAGGAGTGAATGGAACAGAGCTGGCGTTCAGATTGGCGCTACTATTTGAGTTGGAAGAAGGGTTGGATGGTCGTGAATGCACTGAACTATCGTGAAGCATTGTGTTGTGTCTCTTTTGGCACTCGAAACAATTGTTTTTGCTAGTGCAATTCCGGACATGATGTGTTTTGGAGAAACAATTCAGGCATAACCCCTGCTTTTTCACCTCGGACATACGATTTTTAATGTCCATTGCTATGAATCGAGGACACTTCCGAAGAATATGCAAAGAATTGGTGCACAATAGACACTTCGGAGCAGAAACCTTAGTCTGGAAAGAACTGAATTTCGAACCTTTCGGATTTGGTTTGGAATTGGATTTACCTTTGTTGTCCTCAGATTTTGAATTGTTTCGCATTTCTGAAACGGACTCAAGGGTACGATACCGATTTGTGAGGAAGGAATCAAGGTCTTCCCACCTAGGAAGTGATGTTTTGTCTGTCAGACCTTGCTCCCACAACGTCAGAGTTGAGTCTGGAAGGCGATTGGAACAAAGGAAGACGAAAACTGGATCCCAACTTGTGACGTCGATATCGTATAATGCCAGCGCAGATATACAGGAATTAATATCGCGTTGGAGGTCCTTTAGCGCAGAAGCAGATTCAGATTTAATGAAAGGAAGATTGAAAAGAACCTTCAGTTGACCATTTACCAGAATTCGTTTATTTTCGAACCTCGAACACAAGTTCTGCCAAGCCAATTGGAATCCCTGGTTAGTCAATGGAGACCTTTGGACTATATCACGTGCTTCACCTTTGGTCTTCTGAGACAAGTGGAATAAACGCTCAACTGGACTGAGCCTGGAATTTTTGATGTACACAGCCGTGAACATGTCTCGGAATGTTGGCCATGACATATAATCGCCATCAAAGATTTCCGTGTCGCACGGAGGAAGGTGGAACGAATGACTAGAGCTTTGCTCTGCACGGTTGTCTGAAATGGGACTGCCGCCGGTTGACGCTGGAGAAGCAACCGGATCTTTTGAAACAGGTGGAGGCTGAAAACTTTCCAAAAGTTCTGTCAACCGCGCTAAACACGTACAATAAGTCACATATGTGCTATTGTACTTAGCCTGGAATGTGTCTCGATTTGAAGCTACATCCTCACCACCCTCTTCCTCATCACCTTCTTCATTAGCTTGCTCAATCATGAAAAGATCAAAGGAAGACTTTGCCTTTTCCCACAAGCCCGTGCACTCGGAAATATGGACCTTGACTAACTGAGCGGAAGTCGCCGGGATAGTTCCATCGCCGATACCAGCATTGAATGCAACCAGCTGGTCAGCATTACGAATGAAAGCGTCTAACGACATTGTTGGAAGGAGTTATGAAGAGGAACTTACGAAAATTGGAACTTTTCTTAAGTCGAAACTCAGTAGAAACAGCGAAATTGTTGGAATTCTCGAGAATATTGGGAAAAAAAGTACGAAAATGAACGGAAATTCGGAAAATCGAGTGGTTTGATGATGTTTTCTTATAGAAAATACGACCTCTAGCGGCTAAATTCACAAGTATACAACAGAACAGGAAAAATAATTCACCGAAGTGTGAAATTTACAGAAAAAAAAATTCAAAAACAAGACGTATTTTGGAATTTTGAAGCAAAAATCAGTTTTTCCAGGTCTTTTCAGCAGTTAAAAGCGACCTCTAGCGGCGATATGGAGCACTACGTATCTGAGACAGCAAATAAGCCCAGCAGGATTGAAGAAATGTTCAAAAATTATTACAATTCACGAAAAATCTAGAAAAAACAGCAAAAAATGGGAATTTTGGAGATATTTCCTTATTTACAGGGCGACACCTAGTGGCGATTATGGACACTTCAGATGACGACAAGTGGTAGGAGAATACTCTGGTGTAAACGGACCCGTAATAATGGCGGAAACCCAGAAAAAATCGGAAAAAATTGATAAAAAGTAAGATTTTTCGGCTATTTTTATATATAAATAGCGCCCTCTAGCGGCCAAATGATGAATTACTAGTCTGCAAGACTAAATTATTCCAACACTTCACGGCTATATATATGTTAATATAGAATAATATATAGGTGTCACAAACAGGTTGTAGTGCGACCATATAAACAGACCAACTGTAGGGTGTGCGTTTATTAAAGAGCGCAACGAAGAGAATATTTCAATCACTGTTGAGTGAAAATAATGAATAGACACTGTGGTGGCTGAGTGGACGAACAACTCAACAGCGGCCAACAAGGAATGATAATAGTATGTGTGCTTATGTGTGGATGAATAGTTAGCGTGCTGACGAGAATATCCAGTAGTGGGAATCTCTCTAACAACAACAACTACAGTGATAGAATAAAACGGAGATGGATAATATGCATAAACACACAACAAGTAGAAATGGTTTAGCGGCAAAATAGAAAAATAGAAATATGAAGAACAAACACACTGTCGCGAATTGGAAATAAATAAATATTTGAATATTATTTAAATTAATGGAAATTTAAACGGGAAAATAATTGAAATTATATTAATGGAAGGAAAAATATTTTTCAACTAAATTCGATTAAAAATATTTAAAGGAAAATTTAAATATTTTATGATGATTTGGAAGTAATTTTAACTTTAAACTTTGGAGTTAAAAAATCGGAACACTGTGCGTTGATAGAAACAAAAAAAAGGAAAATATCAATTTGCTGACGGCAAAACGCACTTTGAGTTAATCACTTGGATATTGAATCGCACTATTGAATTTCACTTTTGGATGATTAAAGCACAAACTTACCTTGATTTTGATGGAAAAAATGGATAAGGAGGATAGTATGGATGATTGGCAATTTTGGCACGGCAGTTAAATCCGGTTCGAATGGACCAAATGTATTTACCAAATATGGGTATTTCTGTGGAGTAGAAAGCTGGTTATACTGCTGTTTTGGACAGAAAACTATTCCGTGGAATTCGAAATATTTTACTCTCGTTTTGCAGATGTGGATAAGGAAAAAGGAAAGGAAATAAAACGAGCGTATTAGTTTTGTTTGAAAGAACAATTCTGGTTCTTTATTTAGAATTCAAATTTGAAGATTTGAATAGCGCTTACCAAATTCAAACAGTTGTGGTTGACGTTAAGGTAACAAGTGATTTTATTTGGAACAAAGGAAAATCGAAAAACCACAGAGAGGACACAAACGGACATATTGAGTGATTGAGCGCTACAGCACAAGCACAACTTACGAGTGCGCGCGAAACTTAACTTTTGAATTAGGGTGACCAGATCATCAAACTTTCGCATGAACATTAGGATCACAGTATCAGAAATTAAAATTTCATAAGAAGAGGTCAGCAGATCACTTTTATTTTTTTACAACCAGATTTCAGTATTTATTGTTTAGTACAATTTCTCATCATATGCTAGAATTTTAGCTTTCGCTACGCCATCCTAATATCATCCCCTTTTCTCTCTTTATTAGAAGTATACCTAGAGTACTTCTTCATATATTCGCAAAAGATGATAAAAGCTGGGGTCAAACTTTAAAACGAGGTAAAAAAAACATTTAAAAGTACAATATTCAATCAAACTCTTTTTTTAAAAAATTCAAATTTCAGCCAAATTGGGTGGCTATACCAAAACGTAGACCTACATAAACAAATTTAAAGCCATTGCGAACCACGAAAACCAAAATTCACACCCTCCACTGGTAAATAGGGCTCAAACCTTCAAACCTCCAATATCGGGAAGAGCCTTTGTATAAGTGTTATACGAAAACGTGGACTGAAAGAAGATATTTGGTTGTAAATTATGATTAAAACTTTCAAAATACCGAGTTATTACTAAAAATGGACAGGTATAGTATTTTGCTCAATACCACAAATGCATATGCCAAATTCCATTCATGCCAAATTTATTATCCTCTCATTTTTTCAATTTTCTGCTTTCCTAAATATGCATAATCTAATTTGAATAGCTTGGAACTTTTTTAGAAATATCAATAAGTTCCCATTTTCATTTCTTCATTTCTTTTCGAGGCTTTTATGCATGGTTTGTGGTACAAAAGAACTGTTGAATACCTCCAAGAGACAAAAAGTCTAAAAACAGCAACATATGTTAGAACTTCAATTATAAATACAACCATAACATTTGAAAGGGTCACAGAACGGAATCCTATGACATGCTCAGAATTCATCTTAAGGCACAATACTGAAATTTTTCGGCCAATATAAATTTCCTACACAAATTTGTAGTGTCTTTTTGAATGGACGTTAGAAAGTCGAAAACTGTTGTTCCCTATGAATAAAGCAATTTGAAGGTGTTTTCATGTAATGTATGTTTGCAAAAAGCCCTTAAAAATTATGGAAATTATGAGAAAACGTTTTTATATGGTCTATTGATTCTCACTTACCTTTGTTCTTTGGCATTGGCTCTCCGTATCCATTATAGTTGTGTTCCAGTACTTTTTTAATAGTAAAACTAGCAGAAGAGAGAACAGTTCGAAATGTCATTCTCATTTAGGTTTGCTCAAAAAATAAGGGAACGGAAAATTAGCAGAAATGCGATAAAGTGTCAAAATTCAAAATTCCAAAAGTAAACAGCCTAAATCGGACTGGTGAAACCTTACTGAAAAGAGCGCCAACATTTAAAAAATGAGTATTGAAGACGATAAGTTAAAATTAATAATTTATAATAATAATTAATAATCTGATTCCTCATTCAGCCAGTCCTCTTCACTGCTGGAATCATCCAAAAGTGAATACATCAGTTGCTCCATATTTTCTCTTTTTGCACGACAAATATTACTTTTTCCTTTAGTTTTCAAGTTGATCATTTTCTTTATTGAAATGTATCAATACATTTTTCAACCTTGTTAGCCCTGCCAATTAAATGTCAAATTTACATGTAGCTAAAACAAGCAGAAATGTGCACCACTCAGCGCCATTTTTTTCTCGAGAGAGCTGCAAGTTTTGCTAGTTTTTGGAGTACAGGAACGCGTTGTAGCAGAATTAGTGCTAATTAGTACTAATTTGCAGGTTCTGGAACACAACTTATATTATCAGAAACCAACCGACTTATTTATGCTAACAAAAATTTGGAACGGAAAAACTTCGAAAGAATCCGAAACAATACCGACAACACGATTCATACACCAAATTACACTAAATTATTACAAAAGCGGGAAATAATGGCAACATTGTTGCTCTTCCTTCTTTTCAAGAAAACTTCCGGATGCCTTTACAAAACTTTACTTTTAGATCCAACACACAACCGCACATACACCAAAAAACGCGCCAAAAACAATAATGTTTAATTATATTATGATATTGCATTTAACAACCCTTGCCGTTAATGCCGCTCATCTATCACGAAACACACACACACTTATACACAACATCAAGTATTATTACAAACGATTTTATTTAACTTTTATGAAATTAATCCACAATTTGCGACTTTTTTTTTTTTTTTTGAACTTTGAAACGAAACCCTTGTTGAAGGGCAAAGATGGCGATTTCTAGGAATCAAACGCCAGGTTATATTCAAAAGGTGGTTATAGTTGTTGTTTTGCAGTTACTATCTTGTGATTAGACTCGCGAACTTCTGGTTGAGAGTGGTAACAACGATGAGTGCGTGTATCAATTTGCGTAGTTAAAACGATAACACCAAAAGGTGTATATAAAGACAAATCCAGTGTGTTTATATTATGATGATCAAAACTGCACGAGAGTTTTGATATGTCCAATAGATGCAGGTGGCTTATCCAAAGCAAGGAATAGAGCGCTGTGGAGTAGAAAAATTCAGGAAAAATGGGGGAGGGGGAGCGAGATTTCAAGTTAGTATTTGTTTAATAGTATTTTAATAAAAAAATATCACAGATTGTATCACAGAAAAAGAAATCACAGGTTTAGATGAGCTTCCTTAATAAAATCAAGGAGTTGTATATAGAGATTGGTGTTTTGTGTTTGGAGGAGGGTTGTCAGTTTATGGTGAAGTGAGAAGAGGCTAGGAAAATTGGGTCTTATGTTTACGAACCTCAGACATTCAAAAATACAATGTTGGGCATCTTCCCGACTGCCACACGTGTCGCAGATATCATTATCTACTGCTCCAATGCGATGTAAAAACACCTTGTCATAAGGCTGACCAACCATCAACCTATTTATTAATTTTGTATCTTTCGAGGATAGGTTTAGATTGAGGTACCAAGGGCGTGTAAAAACATTTCCACAAATTTGGAAAAAATTTTTTCCCTTGGTCATTGAGATTTGAGAAAAATCATCGTTCCAGTCATTGACATTTTTATGTTTGATCATCATTAGAGCCTCATTAGTCGAGAGCTCAGAGTTAACGGGGGCACCAAATTCAGCCGCTTGTTTTGCGAGATAATCCACCTCTTCATTAAAAGAGATACCACGATGACCAGGGGTCCAAATAACATGACAACGTTGAACATTTGAATCTCGTAGAATGTTGTGGAATTCTCCAACCAAAAAGTTGTCCGAGTTATCAGTAGCCAAAGCCTTGCAGGCCGCAAGACTGTCTGTAAATAGGACACATTTGTCTTTTCTGTCTTCCACAGCAATCTGTAGAGCCTTTTTAAGGGCAAAAAGCTCGCCAAAGGTGGATGAGGTTTTAAAATCAATCTTGAAAAGAAATCTTTGCTTTTTGGAGATGTTGTAGATTCCACAGCCGGTGGCATTGTTTTTGACCGACGCATCGGTCGCGAATAATTCAAAGTCATGCATTTTGTAGTGAGCAATCTCCTTGTTATAAATGGCTTGTAATATTTCATTACCGGTGTTATCTTTTTTAGAAGGTAGTAAGTTGGTTCTGACATGCAGCGAGTTTTGTCGGGAATATGCTACCGTTTTAATCCGTTCAAAAATTTCTGCATGATCATGAAAAACTTTGCTGTAGCTGGATTTGACCAATGGGTTGTCAGCGATGATATCATATAATTCTGGATTTTGTAGTCTCACTCTAATGATCTCTTTTGCTGTTAAAAACTGAGCTCTATGTGCAGATGGTAGTTCCCCAGCAAGCGTATATATTACATGATTAGGTGAGGATTTAGGCACTCCCAGGGATCTTTTAATCATTTCATTTTGCAGACGTTCAACCTTTTTGTTAATGTTGTTAATGTATTGTGGAGAATTGGCAGTTGTTGTTCTTGAGTACTCAATTTTGGATCTGACAATGCTTCTATACACATTCAGGGCTACTTTTGGATGTAGGCCTCCTTTGATTGAGGTAAGGCATCTCAACAGATTAGTCCTGTTTATAACTGCATTTTCTATAAATGTGTAGTGTTCAGATACAGACAAAGAATTGAAGATAATTCTTCCCAGAAACTTAAGTTTTTTATCCTGTCGTATGGAAATATCATTGATGTTAAGTGTGATCTGTTTTATGCTGTTTTTGGCAAAGTACATAGTGTTTGATTTTTCCGGATTAAATGACAGATTGAGTTCTGAAAGTGCTCTAGAAAAGTTGTTTGCCTTTCTTTGTAGGAGTTGCAAGGCTTGATCAAAGTCATTATGATAAACCATAATTAGAAAATCATCTGCATATTGAAAGATTCGGCTGTTATTGTCTTCCAATTGATGTAAAGAGGCAGTATACAGATTAAAAAGAAGTGGAGACAGACAGCTGCCCTGTGGGATACCGTTTGTGACAGTAACTTGATTATTGCCAAGTTTGAGAAACCTTTTAGAAAAGAAGTTGATGATCCAGTTGGAAATTTGTTGGTTGAGACCATATTTATACAATATATTGGCTAAAGTGTTAATTTTAACGCAGTTGTATGTATTGTTTATGTCCAGTGAAAGAACTAAAACTTTGTAGTTGTTCGTTTTCAGCAGGGCAATTCTGTGTAAAAATTCATTCAGGCATGTTGAAGTTGACATTCCGCTTCTGTAAGCAAATGTGCGACTAGGCAAGACATTGTTGTTTTCCAAATGTTGTATTATCATATCTAAACACTTAACAAAGACTGAAATTAAAGAAATCGGTCTGTAATTTGCAATGATTTCCCGGTCCTTGTTTGGTTTGGGAATTGGTACGATTTTGATGATCCTCCAGCTATCTCGAATTGAGTTATTAAGAAAGGCGTTGTTCATTGCTGTAAGTACAGCTCTTTTTGATATTCCCGGAAGTGCTTTTATCATGTCATAAGTTATTCTGTCATGCCCAGCCGCAGAACCTTTGTTTTTGTTTTTCAAAATTTCTTCAAAATGATCAAAATCGAAGGTAATAGGTGGATTGTTTTCAGTAAGTTGAGAAATTGAGTGTGGATTGGATTGAGATATATCATTTGACTCTTCATCCGGAACTTGTTCCTTTAGTAATCTTAAGTACGGCATGTCATTATCAAAAACGAAATCAATCGTCAATTTTTTATTTCATGTGAAGAACAGAAAGCGAATATGCACAATATGCACAACTAAACATTTCAATAAGAAATAGGATAACATATTCCTATATAACATATTCCTAGTATAAAAATTAACATTGAAATAAAAATATAAGAAAAATTTTATTTTAAAAATGTAGAAAACGGGGGATTTTTTACAGTTTGTCTGTGGTTATTTCTTTCTACCGAACTCTAATTGCGTTTCAAATATTACGTGTTTTACATTTTAAATAATTTATTGTGAAAATTAATATTAAAACAATTTGAGCTATTTAATTTTACGTAATCTTCAGGATAAAGTATTCCTTCTAATTAATCGTGCTCAAGTAAATTCAATTTTGTTAACTAAATAACAAAATTGGAAAAGCCAAAATGGAATCGGAATTCCACTTCATGGTGGAATTGACATATTGTACCATATGTCAGACACTTGTCACTTGTATTGTCAAAGTTTACCTACCGGAGACAAGTAAGTCTGCGCGAAAACGCCGGCCGAGTTCTTCCTTGAGTTGAAGGAACTTACTCCAGTGGTTCATTTAATGAATGTGGCCAGCGGTTCAATTTCCTCATGTCTCATTCGTAAACAACAGAGGTCCCTCGGGGATTTTGCTTTCTCATTCTTTTTTATCGGGCGTTCCTTTTTGATTTCTTATTTGTTTCGTTGGGGACGTCTTTCATTTTTGTTTCCCACGCGCTCTTCACAAGCAAAGCGAACGAAGCGCGCGCACAGGCAAGCCAGTGAGTTGGAAGGAATAGGACACATTGGACATTGATTTTACCAACCTATATTGGAAAACATAAGCCTATAAGATACAGTGAGTTTGAATTTAAATTAAAATTTGTGTCGATCATTACAATATCGTCATTTTTGAGGCAAAAATCGGAAAATCGATAAATCCGATTTGCCGACAAATCGGCAAAAATGGCAGCACTGTTGGCAGCTATTAGCCCTGCCTTTGTAGTCTTGTGTTGCTTGTGTCGTTTATTCCGTAGAAATGGGGCTCCTGTCAGATCCTTCACTGACTCCACGCAATAAATTTGGAAAAGTCCTCAGTAAACATCATTCCAAAGTAGGTTGGCTGTTGTACGTTGCCAGTATTGTGTGGTTTGGATGTTTGGGCCACAAAGACTTTAACCATGGCACTTATCTATCAGAGAATGCATTATCACCAGGTAAATGGTTTTATGATTCCATAAACATAGATTATTGTTAATGTAACTTTATTCACAGGATTGGTTTATCCGGAAATCAAACAGGAGTCTAGTCGTTGGGCCCAACAACTCATCGAGGAACTGGGCAGGGAGCGTGAAAATCACAAGGCCACAACTCCCCATGCCTGGATTGCGGCTAAAATGAGACAAATTGGCCTGGAGACTTATGTGCACAACTATACTCTGCGTTATCCCTTCGATGGAGGAAAAGAGTTTCAGGGCAAAAATGTTTATGGTATCTTGAGGGCACCTCGCACCAGTTCCACGGAGGGTATTGTGTTTTCTGCCCCATACAGATCTCCACAATCGCCACATGCAGATATTGTTGCCAGTGTTCCGGTGTTATTGGCTTTTGCAGACTTTGCCAGGAGTAAGTTAAGGAAGTTTACAAGCCATGACCCACTTAATATATAATTTATTTCAGAGAAGAACTATTGGGCTAAGGATATCATTTTCTTGGTTACCGAGCAGGAACAACTTGGCATGCATGCCTTCATTGAAGCTTATTTCAACACAGAAATGGATGAGGCAACTCGTCAGAAATCATTTTTGGATTATGGTTATTTGCCAGCACGGGCAGGGTCTTTACAGGCAGCATTGAATATAGAAGTTCAGGATTTGGATATAGGTATGTAGCAGTATATCAACTAAGTATACTGGGTAGAGAATAAATAAGTATAAGCATAGGTATAAGAAGGAAATACAAAATGTAACAAACAAGTCATGATTAAGTTTTCCAGATAACTTAGTACTGTCTACATTCATAAAACTCAAAATCTTCCCTGAGAAATTTTATAACAAGACAATTGGAGTCATCAATGAAAATTCAATTTTCACCAATACCTCCATAAAATTGTCATCTCAAACCATTCTGTAACAACTTGAATGTACTAAATGCAACGTATCATCAACATCCCCAAAAATGATTAAACCATTGAAAATCTTACAAAATAATTAGATTTTGTACCCTTACAAGCTGTGCAAATAATTTGGGCAAAGAAAACTAATACGTTGTTTCTTATATTTCCTTTTAGATTACGTTGATGTGAAAATAGAAGGCCTCAATGGACAATTACCGAATTTGGACATGTTTAATTTGGTACAGCGAATCACGTCCCGCGAGGGTATTATATCCGGCTACAAACAAACGCCACAGAAAAAACGACGCCAGTATCAAAACTCTGTGGAAAATAACGTCAAAAATATGCTATCCATGATCTTTAGCCTTTCAACCGGTGTTCCAAACGGCAATCACGGATTTTTCCATCGTCATCGTATCGAGTCATTGACCTTGGAAGCTGTCAAACGTCAAACAAACAACAATAATCGTTATAATGGTGGACTGCCCTTGCTGAAAACTATTGAGGGTATATCTCGCAGTCTCAACAATCTTTTGGAACGTTTTCATCAGAGCTATTTCTTTTATATCCTGGTGCAAAATGATCGCTTTGTTTCGATTGGTGATTATATGCCATGTTTGGGTCTACTTATTGCTCCATTATTTATTAAATCATTCCTACTATGGTTGATTGCAAGTGGAGATTTGAAGGATGATGAAGCCGTGGAAAATGACAACGACGACGCAAATGAATCTTCAGAGCTTGATATGGTACCAGCAGTGATGTACATTCTGTATGCATGTCTAATTGGTTTCCTATGCCAACATATGCTGCCTTTGGAGTTTTTGGTTAATTTTATTTCCAATTATGGATTCAACACTGCCCAAAGTGTAACAGTTTCCATGCTATTATGGACTTGTTTAGCTTTCATCCTGCCATTTGTTTATAAGCTGCCAGAAAAGGCCATCAATTGGCTGCATTTAGGTTGTTTGGTAGGACTTGGAACAACTTTGGTTGTTGTGGGTCTACTGAACTTCTCTTTAGCTTTCATTGTGGCACTGTTCAGTGTCCCACTGGCTCTTGGTATAAGTCCGGAATTGAAGAAAGGCTTTAGAAAAAGTTTATTAACCGTGTATACTATTCTACTAAACCCGCTTGTTTTTATATATGGTCTGGTTTTTGTCCTGACCGTGTTCCAATTCCCCGAACTGGCAATCAAAGAAACCGCCCTGCGTGCCGTAACCGCTACAATGGATGCCATCACATTCTCTTTAACCGATAATTGGGTAAGTTGTATTTTTATTTTTTTATTGCCTCCACCACAAAATATTACTTTGATGACCCCATAAGGTATATGTTAGAGATCGGCATACAAATTTGACTCTGTTTAACGATGTCTCTTGAAATCCTGATTGCGGTTACAACATTTGAGATAGAAATGAGTGAAAATTGTCCTAGGCATTTGTAGTTCTTCAAAGAAGTTTGGTATTAGAAATTGTCAATTTCCATTAGCAAACTTCTTATGTTTAGTTTAAGACTCGATGTAACGCTAAATTTTGCCTCTGGTTGTTTTTTAGATTATTTGCAATATTTCTAAACTAATCACTTGTAAAATCCCATTGAGAGCTACAGGTTGGCAAGTTCTCACTCGCAAGAAATGCTTATGATATTTGGTACATACCTCATATGTCGGTATCTTCTGATATGAAGTATTATTTGATTTTCAGACGTATTTTTCAAATAAATTTGCTTATTTTTTGCGAAGACAAAAATCCTTCTTGCACAACATTTTCAATAATGGCCCAAAAAATTGATAGTGCCTCCAAATTCCAAACAAATTGATTGTACTGTATTCATTTTACTTTAAATTCTTTTTTGAGGAAAATTGCTACATACTGTTCATATATGGCCCCCTACATATTACAGGAATGTTTTAGGATCTAGGCCATATTCTCCAGCCGAGTAGGAAACACAATCGTGAAATTCTTCAATGTATGTGGAAGACTTTGGAATAGCTCTTATTACGGTAGCACCCCAATGTTGAAGGTCGTAAAGAAATTTTCAAGTGAATTGGTTACAATTCAATACTTTTACAAGTTACAACATACGTCCCAAGCCATAAATTTTGAAGACCCTGAACTATAGTACAGCTTCTGATTTGATTCGCTAACACTGCGAATCGTCATACCGAACAAAAATTAGTCAGTTTTTAATTCCAAATTGATCGATGTGCTTATTCAATGGCGCAATTGTATGGTGGAGATTATCGGTTGAGTTTCCTTATAGATCTGACAAGCATGCCATAATTAGAATACACTCTAATGCAAACATGATAATAAAAATAGTTTTCTGTGGTATTTTTCTAATTAAGGAGAGGTGTAGTCCTTAAATAGAAAAATACCACAGAAAACTATTTTCATTATCTTCTTAATATGTAATCTAAAAAAAGTTGCTAACGTTTTTGTTTTCCTTTCAGATTTACAACAACTGGTTGAGCAGTATTGTGACCACTGTACTATTGCCTCTGTGGTGTTGTCTCTGGGCTGTGGTAGTAAGAAATTCAATGCCGGCGAACACAACCAAGGATATTGACAATTCAAAAAAGGTCCAATAGCTTATAAAATCATAGAATTAGAGAAAAATAATTCGTCAAGTATTCCGTTCTTTTTAATATATATATTGTGTATGTATATGTTTCTTGTTTATTATTTTTTTTTTATTAATTTTATAATACAAATATATGATTTATTTAAAGTAAAAAATATACAATGCAGCAATTTTATTCATTCAATATATGTGTGTATGTATGTATGTGTATAGAGAGGATACTCAGGTTAAAAAAAAATAGTTTTGTTTGTTTTGCTTAGAAAGTATTTAGGAGCAGTTATTATATTCACTCTAATAACCATTATGGTAACAAAATTTGAAATGGGGGAGTGGGGGCCAATTTATAATATTGTAATCTAAATTTTAGCTTAAACTAAAGGTATACCATACAAATTTTCTTCTTCTTTTTCATTCCAACGAAATTGTTTTTTTTTTTTTTTTTTCAAAAGTTATGCAATACAAAAATAAAATCTTTGGACTTAAAACTAGAAATACCAAATATTTTGATAATTTGTTTCTCGATTTTTCGACAGCAGTAATATTACAATTTTAATTCTACAAAAAAAGTAAAATATATCCATGTTTAGTTTTCGCATAATTTTGGTTATGTGCTGATTATTTTTGTTTCTCAAAGTTCAGCGAACGTGGCATTAAGGCGAGATTCTTTAAGCATGCATGGGCTTGCTGCACCATATATTGCTGATCCTTGGTCTGGCCGCATGCCAACTTTTCCCATTTGGGATCTAGGTAATGGTGATTGCGATGACGTGCCACAGTGTCCGGCTGTGGCTTGTTCTCCTTCTTAGCCTCATCATCTCGCGGATCATCCAGTAGCAAATCTGACTCACTGCACAGAGTGTCCTTCATAATGCTTGACGGTGAGAAGGCTATGGAATCACTCGATATTAAGAATTTACTGGGTGTTTCCGTTTCATAGGGCAGCGGTTTCCTCTCCAGTTTCATATCACTGTAACTATGACTTGGCATTACATTCTCACCCCAACTGGTGATGAGGGATTTTCGTGCCTTTTTCGTTGGAGGTGGCAACTGGGAGTTGGTGCCACCACCGGCTGTCCTGTTCACCGGAATGTTTTCTTTCTTAATCGCCACCGATGTTCTGTTGGATTGATTTGTATCGTTCAACTGTTCCTCGTGTATGATTTCGGCTAGATCTTCAGCCAAACTAGATGGACTTGGGGGAATGTAACGTTCACCGCGACGTTTTTTACCCAAAGCAGCCAGTGCATTTTTGAAGGGTGTTGGGGTACGGGGTCCCATGAAGCCTAAAAAGAATAAATATAAATAATGAATAAATTTTGGAGTTGGAGATAACAAGATACATAATGAGAACGGCATTAAAGCTTGACCAAGCCCAACTTTTAATATTTTTAAAAATGTTTTCAAATCGACTGGAAAATGTGACTAAAGATTTAAAGTATCTATTTTTATTCATTTATCCATTTTAGGATATATGACCAGCTCAAAATTGATTTTTATTATTTTTACCCCTGGAGAAGCCTTTTTCTAGCCGTAGCCGCTGTGAAACAATGCGATATTTCACAACTAATAAATAAATATTGTAAGAAACAAGAATAATGGAATTAATTCTGAATATTAATGCTATTCTTATCTCAAAACACTAATAAATTGGGGAGCGACGAAACCAATTTCTAAAAAAAAATAACTTTTTATTAAAATATCTATTAAAATATCTAAAGAAAAATTTTATATTTTTGTCAAATTGTGGACTTATACAGAATAATTTTTGAAAGGATCACATTGGTCACCATGCTACTAATTTAAAACAATTAACTAAAACCTTCAAAATGGCGTAGATTTGGACGTATACATTAAATAAATAAGTGAACCGAAATGACTTTTTTTTGCGTCTCATTTTCTGCATATTTTACATAAAATTAAGTTTATTTTTTGCTATTTGACCCCTCCCCCGAAATGCATTTATGTGTACGTCCCTGCTGGGCATTTGATCTTCGAAAACGCAAATAGCCAAATAACAGCTATTTAGCACTGAAAATGTTTTCCCCTAAGCGATCATTAAAGTTAAAATAATCGTTTTCCAATTTCCTGTTTATTTTAATTAAAAAGTACTTGAGTAACCACAATAACTACAACCCTAATTAACGTAGATTGAGCTTTCATTAACATGCCGAAAATATGCAACACTGTACAATAAATTGAAATGTCATTTCTAACTGGGAAAAGTTCGTTAAAATTTGTGGTTGTTAAAATTAAATAAATTCCGTTTTATTTTAAAATATATTTCATTTTAATGTGCTTCCGGTGAAATTTGTCCCATTGCCCGAGTGTCATGTCTGAAATGTTCAATTACGTGTGTGTTGTTTCGCGTTTTTTGTAGTCGTTGTTTAAAACCAAAGTTTTTGGCGCGTTTTTGCGAGTCGTTTGTAAGAAACCCAATAAACCAGACATAAAACCACAAAATAAAAATATCATGTTCGCGGCGGTGTTTCTACATAAAAATGTGATAAAAAAAATGAAAAAAAAAAAAAAAATATTTCGAGTGCTAAGTAGCTCCTTGTCTGCTTGTCTGGAAAATCCCCATGCTCTCAATATGTCATCGAAAAGGTAAGAACTTTTTTTTTTCATCATACTGTCATGAGTAATGCTCAAGTTATTGGTTGTAATTTGCATTCCATTGTATTCAACAATAATTTGTAGGATCCTCTATTGGTGTCCATTACATATTTGTTTGGTGTTAATAAAACCTACTTCAGAATCGAAAGTTAAAGCCTACCTCTTACATACAATTTTTCTTTGGATCATTCATCACATCCTATGGTCTTTTCCATAGATAATTACCTCCCCCCTCATATGTTGAAAGCTGCAACTACAATTCCCAATCAGATACTCACTTTTATGCGGCGTCTCAATCGAGGAACTTTCCACCTCCTTTTTAGTTTCAGTATTAATTCTATTGTGACTCTTGTGAACAGGTGTACTGGCCCGGAAAGTCAAATCCTCAAATGTGGTTAGACATGGAGAGTTAAGGAATTGACTTGGCGAGAAAGGCAACGGTTTGATGGGTGTCATTACCGGTGAATCGGGTAATTTAACATCGCCGGCATTGGTTTGTTGCATACGCTGATGATGCTGCGTTTTGCCCCTCTTTAGGATATTGGGCGCTGCACGGGTGTTAACAGGTTGATTTATGACCGTCTCCTGTACCTTATCCGTTTGAGATGACGCAGCGGCCGCCGCTGTTGCAGCATTACTATCCTGTTGAGCTCTTTGTAAAATTTGAGCGGACAAAGCTAAACCGGGATTCAATGTTATTGGAGCACCAGATTTAATCAACGTTCTCAGATGGGAACGTGAACTCTTCAAATCGGTGCACTGGCGATTTGATTTACGTTCATTGTCATAATATTTTCTGCGCATCGTGGAATTCCAGTGATTCTTAATAGCATTATCTGTACGCCCAGGAAGTAGCCGGGCTATTTTGGCCCATTGATTACCCCACTGCAGGTGGGCCTGATAGATAATACGATCTTCCTCTTCCGTCCATGCCGTTTTCTTTATGTTAGGATTCAAATGATTGTGCCAACGTTCACGACATTGCTTGCCAATGCGTCCATTGAGATAACGGGCAATTAAGGTCCATTTTTTGGGACCGAAACGCCTTACCAACTCGACCACTTTATCATCTTCTTCCTTGGTCCAGGGACCCTTAATTAGCTCTGGGTTTAAAACCTTGGCCCAACGCTGCTGCACCTGCGGCTCGGTGCGATCCTTGAAATGTGGTGCAATTAGATCCCATCGATCACCATGCTGTTCGACTAGCGTTTTCAATAGAGTATCTTCTGATTTGGACCAACGTTTGCCAAAACCACCTGAACTGCCATTGGCATTGCGCGAACTAATACTGCTTCCATCGTCTTCGAATCCGCCACCATTATCCGAGTACTCGGATTCAGCCGATTCTGCACTTATACTCTCTCGTTGCTCAGCAATTGACACCACATCCGCATCACTGCCTCCACTACGAATCACATCGTAGTATTCGTATTCCATGTCTAGTGATCTTCACCCCTCTTCCAGCGCAGACAATTGTGGTAGTATTTTACTCTTTGGCCTTGGTTGTGATAGTACGAGTACACCTTTCCCTGGCAATAAAGGCAGTTGGAAAAATTGCGAATGTGAACACGTTCCGAATAGTGTTCAAAGACCTGTAGCAAGGATGTGCTCTTGAAAACCTCTCCACAGCTAAGACAAGTTATCGACTCTGATGCTTCTGTGGCCCCGTCCCGCAAGCGAAAATGTGTCGCATCTCTTTCACTGCGACCTTGGTCCAGAATAGTTAATGTCGGGGTTATTGTTGTTGCCTCGAAATTATTTGACCTTAGTTCTCCTCTGTGTGGTGGTGCCACAGTGTTATTGATGTGTCTTAAATTAGTAGTATTGTTGTAATTGTTAATAATGTTGTTGTTCAAGTTTCCATTTTCGGCCATTAATCGCATGCGTAACAACCTCCCTTAAAACAGAGGCTTTGAAAAGTATCGGCTTTTGGGACACACACAAAGAATTTGAGGCGATATCTTAAAAAGTATCAGCAACGAGCGACGATGAAACACATCATACCAACAACAACAACTGCTCCGATATCCAATGCTTCTTCTTACGAGACGAGAATAACATCACCACCACCAGCCGTTGTCCGTATTGATGTAGTCTCCGTTGTTGTTGTTATTATTATTGTTGTTCGACCAACACTGTTTCGAAATTGAAATGAAACTGATTCAAGCTTTAGCTTTCATAGAAATGTTTGTTAGAAAAATTCAAATTCCAATTACGTTTTGTTTGATTTATTTATTTTGGTGTTGTTTTCTTTTTTAGTTTTTTTTTCTGTTCTCCACTTCATTCACTTTAATTTCATAGCGTCTATTTTGTATACACAAGACAAGGGTGTGAGAAGAGTACATGTGTGTGTGTGCCGCCGTCTTAATGTGGCTGGCTGCGGACGAGTGCGTGCGTGTGTGTGTGTGCGCAACAAAGCAGCTGCTGCAGCACACGCTTTTTTCCTCTTTGCTTTTATTGTTGTAATCAACAAAGTTTTTCATTCACGATTTTCTACTTTAATTTATACAGTTTTTCTTCGAATTTCTCTTTCCATTTGTACAAAAAGTTTCGGTGTTTCACCTTAAATACAATATTTATCGATTCTTTATGTACAATTCTCCGTTTTTGTGAAATAAAGTACGCAACAAAAAAACGACGTCTCGTCAAAATAACCGTGTTTTCGTGTTTTGTGATGGTGGTACCGAGTACCAATAACCGAGCACTCACAACCACAGCAGGGTTGTATCAAATTGTAGCCATGTCAAATTTATTGGACGATTAATAGTGTGTTTTTGTTTGATGGAATATTTAGTAGTTATGGCGTATGTTTATGAATTTGGTTTAAATCTTTCTTAGATAAATCGAAATGTATTTAAATTGTTTTAATAAAAACATTGTTACTTTTCATATGGAAAATTAAAAAATACAAACAGTTTGCCACGAAAAAAGTACTGTATTTACACAGATTTTATGAAAACAATTGTACAGTAGAAAATTAGATTTTTTCGAGTGCTGCCATTATTACATAGTCTGGACACAAACCAAGTAATTTTTGCATAGTTGTGTGGTTGTCGAAGGTTGTTAATAGGTGGCGTTACGTGTTCTTTGGTGATATGGCGGTAATTACAAATGTTCTATTCATAAAGGCAACTGAATTTCAAATATAAGAGACTGTAAACTGCCCGCCTTCTTCAAAAAACCCTTAGTCTCGAGCGCACAACAGTCCTACACTGGCTTAAGTGTATACCCAATAGGGCATGCGGCGAATTTCTTTTCAGTGATTAATTATGGCAAAAGCAAACTTTTAGAAAATTACAAACATAGAATTTGCCATAGAACACTTCAAAGACAACTCACAATTTCTTTAATGACACACAATTCTTTTGTTTGATATTTTACTTAACCTCTCAAATAATTTAAAATTATCACATAATCTATTTTGATTGAAGATCAGAATGATCTGTAAGTGACATACTTATTCATCGACGACCAGCCGAAACGGTTGAAGCTAACATTTTGGAATGGATGTGAGTCAAAGTAGGTTTTTTTCGAAATCCGTGCTATTAGGACACGAAAATTATGAAAAAATACTAATTATTGTCGTTAACTAAAAAAAAAAAACTAAAACTTACGAAACTGAGAATGACTCCATTGCGTCGAGAAATATTTTTGACACTAATGTAGGAACAGAGATAGAATTATGAATATTTATAGAGAAATCAGTGTGCGAGCGCAGCATTTAGTTAAGATGGTTGGTTTGGATATTCGTAAACTGCAACCAACGTTCAACAATTTTCTAAGCAACTCGTCCGACAGCTGTTAAAATTATTCCAGAGACAGCTCACTATATTGTTTACAAGCGTACAAAAGCTTTTTGGTAAGAATTTTCCAGAAAGTTATTTTTTATTTTATTTATTATATTAAAGTTATTCGTGATGGAACTCAAGCGTGTGTCTCGTACCATCGCTTGTTACCGTGATACTGGTAGCGTAGACCTGCGTCAAGGAAGTGGATGGAAGAAAACAGCAACATAAGCAGAAATGGTTCGAAAAGTAAAGAAGCGACTTGATCGAAACCCTCGTCGCAGTGGCCGAAAAATGGATCGTGATCTGAACATACCGCAATATTCCATTTGGAAAATATTGAAAATAATGGGCTCGGGTTAAAGCCATTAAAATTCCAAAAAGTGCAAGAACTAACACCACAACAGAAAGAAAATAGACTGAAAAGAGCTAAAGAGTTGCTTCGCTTGGCCGAAAGTGGTAAACTGCCGAATTTGGTTTTCTCCGATGAGAAAACATTCGTTGTCCAGCAGATTGTAGGCAAACAAAATGATCGTTTTTACTTGCCAAAGAGGACAACTGTGCACCTTCGGTTGGCCACCACAACTCAAGCGCCGGCCATGGTGATAGTGTGGGCAACCATAACAGGCGCTCTCCACTAGTATTAATCGATCGTGGCATCAGAATAAATGGCGAATATTATTGCAAAAATATTCTGGAGGGTGTACTAAAGCCTTGGGCACGCAAACATTTTGGCCGCAGGCCTTGGACATTCCAACAGGACTCAGCACCATCGCACTCAGTACGCGCCACCCAAGAATGGTTACAAAGTGAGGTGCCTCGCTTCATTTCCAGCGCACAATAGCCACCAAAATCTCCGGATACCAATTCGTTGACCTATTGTGTCTGGAATATTTGGGAAAGCAGGTTGGCACTAGAAAAATACCAAAGTGTCGACCACCTCAAGCAAGCGCTTCGCCGGGAATGGGCCAAGTACCACAGAGTAACATTCGGGTAGCGTGTGACAGTTTCATCGGCCGTTTGAAAACCATAATTCTTGCCAAAGGTGACCAATTCGAACAAATCTAAACTTATTCTAAAATTCGATGGTATTTCTGAAATTTTTTGCTTTCATTCAATAAAATTTGAAAAAGATGTAAAAATTATGGCGTTTGACTTTCTTGCATTTTTTTATCTCACCCTGTATATACACCCTCCCTATCCATATGGCTGAGGGTATAATTAACATCCGATTCCACTCAGACTTGGCACGTCTCAATATTTATATCAAAGCAAGATCTGTTGTAAAGATGGTAGGGATTCGATTCTGGTGTCTCCCCAAATGGTCAATGTTTTAAATAACCAAAACGATCATAAAATCCGAAATAAGCATCCGGTTCGCTTCAAATTACACACATCACAATATTTTTATTAACTCAAGGTCTGGTGTGAAGATGAGATATATCGGTCCACTAACGCAAGATCTGTTGTATAGATATATATCCGCCAACCCCCTTCTGGGGTTGGCATCCACGAAGCGATCCAAATGTTAGATTTTCTTATAGTTTTGTCCATAAAAATATTTTCATCTGTATTAGATAAAGTATGACAATTGAATACTTCGGTCGACTATATGTGGTATCGCACGCTAACTTTAACATGTTCTAATAATTATCACATATCTCTATAAAGTGAAGGAAGATTTTCTCATAAAACGTCATCATTTACTGGACTATTAAGTTATCGAACAGCATTCAGTTAAAATTTTTAAAAATTACTGTTTTTGTTAAAGTTCAAATTAAATGTCAATTTTAACTCAACTTTATTGTCAGTCAACTTCTTCTCCACCCCCAGCCAATCGACTCCTTTCCTCCAACAAATATCCCGAAAAATATATTTAATATTCACGACAATGTTATCGACCATTCTTCGATTCGTCGAACACAATTGTTGTACATCTGTCGTCAAAAATTTTCGAAACAATCAATTCAAGTATTTTTGGGCGATGGATTTGGTCTAATCGCTGCTAAAGAGGTATTTAACGTTTCTGGGCGACAACACGAGTCGGAGTCGGAGGATTGGTAAATCCTTGAATTGAATTTACTTCGATTCGATGTAAGTACAATTTAATTCCAGTCAGCTGTGGTTACACGCTCAAGTACTAAGCTCCCCACTCCGAGAGAGATCGCTTTAATAACATCGAATTTGAAGTTGTTTTTGGGCTTTTGTGTTTGTTTATTTAGTTTAATGTGGCATTTCATAATCTCCCCCACCATCCTGGTGAGGGTTACAAGGAAACCCATACGGGAGTGAGCACAAGAAAGGAATTATATTTATTAAATTTAACCTAAAGTTGTTACTGCTTCCTTCCTACGTGCAGGACGCAAAATATTCCTAGGCTTTTGTAGTTGTCATGACAGTTAAACAATGGCATTTACAACAATTATCGATTATTCTGATGATGGGTGTTTATAGGAGATGAATGGGGGTGGAGAAGCCCAAGCAAGGGGGTAGTGATAAGGATGATGATGATGAAGATGTTGTAAAGCAGGTCAATTAATGGAAAAGCCATCTGTCGTTTATTATGAATCTTGTCAAAATGTTATTGTTGCAAATTTAACCGGACCTTGCGTAACCAATCCAACGCCACAATGTGCAATTTGTGTGGTTTTGAACAATTCCCTTGGCACCACCCATCCATCCACCCAACCACCCCCTCACTCCAGGGAGTGAGGTATTAGTTGCTGGAGCAAAATAAATAAAATCGGAAATCTCTTAGAATTCATTTAACCTTCCGTTTTGAACTGCTTTGCTTTTGTTTTGCCGTTAGAACGAATATAATTGAGAAAAGAGATACTCAACAGCAGGCACAACAAACGAGGCAATGAGGCCAAAAAAGGACGACCACAATATAGGCGTTGAAACAGCGTGTAGTCCTGGTTGTCTGTAGTTGTTGTAATTTGCAGCATGTGGCATGTGTCGAGTGCTCGCCGGCTTTGGTTTCTTTTTGTTTTTTTTTTGCAATTCTATGCTGTTCCCTTCAAAGTGAAATGAATTCCTCGGAGACCTCGAAGAGTTCACCGAAGCATGAGAGTTAAAAGGTAATACAAAATCTATTAGTGTTGCTGTTGCTGTTCCTGTTTGCCACCAAACTAAATAAACCCTCCCACTGGCTGTGAGCCACCTCGTATCGAGTGGGTATATATTGCCATACTCCAGCACTACGTGAACTACATGTAATTGGAAACTTGTTGGTTGCTGTCATTTGCTACTTGTCGTACAAGCCTCTACTGCTGGAGCACAGTAGAGCCGATGTGAAGTGAAAAATCTAAGAACGTAGCTCTAGACACAAAGATTTGTTTCGTCATTGAGGTTCTTGCACAGTGGTTATGTGGCAATTTTATCTTAATTTTATAAATGAGTTTAGCGACCTAGTCACAATCGGCTTGCTGGGGGGACGGGGTTGAAACCTTAGATTGTGGCAGGAAGGTTTGAACATCCGACGATTTCTTGTCCTCTAGGTGTGGTTCCTCTGTATATCGTCTTCTCTTCAAAGTGAAGAGGATTCAGCCTCCTTCGTAACCGCTGGGGCGGTGGTCGTCACCGGTTCCACTTTTCTATCCTTTGGCCATCTGTCCTTTTTGTGAGGGCCTTTGCCTCAGTGCAGACGGCAATTGCTTCCGCTGTTGGTAGGATTATGGGAGCTGTCTTCCCATCAGAGGTGCGTCGCTGACCTCCACGGAGTCCTTATTGGAAAAGTGGCTCACGGCTGGACTGTTCTTCTTAGTGAGTTCAGTGGGTGGGAGAGTGAGAGCATCTTGATCCAGAGAACATCTTGCGGATTATACTTCTCAAATTTCCGCATATCCTTAAGGTTTATCTTCATCAGACAGAGTTGAGTCGTTTTCAAAAGCCG